ATGCGTGCGTCTGCACCCCAGGGGCGACGAGCGCGCCGAGAAGTTTTATGATATATGCTCGGTGGCGGGCGCTTGTTGGCCGTACCGCTCCGGAAACGATACACTACAAGGTGTTTGTACTATGTAGTGGGGTCAGACGCACGCCTACAAGGAGGACGCACAGTGCTGGTGCGTCCTTACGTGTCCCGTGAGGAGGTCTGCGAGGACTTCTTGAGTCGATGCCTGACCCCCCTCCCATGGCGCTCGAATAAGAAGCGCCATCAAGGGCCGCTTTGATGTTCTCCCTGTTGGTCGTCGCATCCTTCCTTTGTGAACTGGAGGCCGACGAGGTGAGAAAAATCGGCCTTAGACGACTCCGACGTGGCGGTGACCAATGCGGTGGCGCTCGTGTTTGCGCTGGACCAGGTGCTGCCTTGCGGCGACGAGAAGCAGACGTAAGGGATGAGAGAAAAAAGGTGGGGGGGGGGAGGGGGGGGGTGTGGGAGGAAGGGGGGGGTGGGGGATGGGGGGCCGGTAGGGGGAGGGGGAAGGGGGGGCGGGGGGGTGGGAGGGTGTACGAGGACGCAAGGTGGAAGATGAGGGGCGGGGTCGCGGGGCCACAGCTGGGTGGGACAACGGCATGAACACGGCCGGGGAGTGGATTTCTTTTTCTTTTTTTTTTTTTTTTTTTTTCTTCTTTTTTTTTCTCTTTTGTTCCTTTTTTTTTTTTTCCTCCTCCTCTCTCCTACTCCTCTCCTCCTCCTCCTCCTCCCTCCTCCCTACCCTCATCCCTGCTCCCTCCTCCCTTCCTCCCTCCCTCCCTCCTCACTACTTCCCTCCCTCATTCTCCCTCTCCTGCCTCCTCCTCCCTTTCCTCCTCCTCCCCTCCTGCCTCCTCCTCCTCCTCCCTTACTCCTTCCTCCATACTCCCTCCTCCCGCCTCCCTCCTCCCTCCTTTCCCTCCTCCCTCATACCTTCCCTACTCCCTTCCTCCCTCGCCTCCTCCCCCTCCCTCATTCATACCTCCTCCTCCATGGCCTCTCCTGACCTCCTCCTCCCTCCTCCCTCCTCCCCCCTCCTCCCTCCGTTCCCCGCGGGCCTCTCTCTCCCGCCCCCTCCCGCGCAGGCCGCGAGCGGCTCGCCCCAGGCCGCTCCCAGGCGGCCGCCGTCGGGGGGCGCCCCTCGGGAGCGGCCCGTGGAGGCCTATGCGGCGGGGCGCCCGCCGGCAGAGGCCGCCCGCCGCGCCGGGCGCGGTCGGCGGCCCCAGCGCGGGCGGGAGTCAGAGGCGACGACCGGGGCGAGCAGCCCAGGGGAGTACCCAGGGGCGCCGATGGCTCCAGAGATCCAACGTATTGAAAAAATCAAGACGGAGGTTTCTTGCTATTTTCGGCCCTCGGTGGCCTTCGCCGGGCCTCGGGACCGTCAAAAAACGACTCGGGATGAAAAACCGGTCCTGGGGAATGGGTCGGGACTTCCGGGGACCCCGTATTGAAAAAATCACGACATCGGATCTCATGTCTTCGACAAGGCTCCCGGGCGAGCGCATGCAATGCCCGCGCCCCTGTCGTCGCCGCCGAGGGAAGGTCGCCGAGCGCAGCCCACGCCCGGGCTTGCGCATGGCACGGGCTGATCCTGTCGGGTGGATCATTGACCTTGCCCCGGGCGGCACCGCCCCGTCATGCGGTGTGCTGCGTATGACGCTCGCGGGTGCAGCTGCCCGCCACACGCGCAGTCCTGCACTCCCCTGTGCGGGTCGTGTGTGGCGGTCCCCCCCCCCCCCCCCTTTCCACCCCTGATTAGGTGCACGCGCCCGAGCTGGGCACGGCGCCGGCGAGGCGCTTGACCGCTCGCTTTGCGCGCGCATCACCAAACAAAATTGTTCCCTGTCCTTGGCTTCCGAGAGGGCCGGCCGCGCGAGCTCTCGCCTCCATCATTTGACCTTTCGCCTCTGCGCTGCGCGCGAGGCCGCGGCACCAAAAATGTGCATGCTGTGCTCTGTGCCTGTGGGAACCTCTCTTAAAGAGTTTCATGTTGAGAGCGTGTCTCCCCCTCTTGGTTTTGCTCCGGTCCCGATTTTCATACGATCGACCCTGAGGGGTGCACAAATTGTTCTGGCGTGTCCGGGCTGTTGCTACATCACATGTCTTAGGTGGCAAATCATGGGAGCTGTTTTCAGCACTGGTGAATTCCAGCTCCTATTCGGTGCCGTTTAGTATCGTCTAGTGTAGTTTAGTGCGGTGCGTGTCTGCCTTCTCCCTCCCCCGCCATTCCAGTCCCGGCTCTTCCTCCGTTTCTCCCATGACGGCCCCTCGTTTTTCTTTCCCCTCCGGGCCCACGCTGCCTGCGCGCGATGTCTAGCGACGTTCCTTCCCACGCGACAGGTCGCTGCGCTGGGGCGGGGAATCAGCGGCCCCAACTCGAGCGCTCTCGAACTTCCCCATGGGGGGGCAGCTGGATACCTCCAGCACGATTTCTCCCGTTATGCCCTGGTTATCGGGCCCGCCCAGTCGCTGCCGGCGCCAGAGAAGCAGAGAAAAAGCAGGGCGGCAGCGAGCGCTGCCGGTGCCGGCGCTCGCCGGTCAGGCGGGGCCGCATAATTTCTTTGACTTCGCAGTGCCTTTCGAAGGCGTTCCCGGCGCGCGTGCGCGAAGCGTTGGGGGGGGTGCCCAGGCAGCGCTTCCATGCTTGCGCGCGCAGTGTCTAGAAACGCATTAAGCAGCCCCTGGCAAGCTTGCTCAAGCGCCTAGCCAGCGCTTCCGAGCTCGCGTGCCCAGCGCTTGCGTAACTTTAGGATGGCAAGAGCAACCTCGCTTGACAGCTTCTCCTGCGCGCCCCGGCGCGCCATTTCAGACGCCCGCGCGCTGCGCGCCCAGGGCGACTCGGGGGGACGCTAATTCCCGGGTGGTTTCTCGAAGTTTGCGGGGTTCAAATCAGAAGGTGGGCCGTTGACCTAGCCTCAGAAGCGACGTTTGCTCTCAGTCAAGGTGCCATGCATCGGCGCGTAAGTGTTTGCAGCGGGTCTCGTGGGCAATTGGTGCTCGCTGACCACCAAGCCAGTCGCGCGTGGGCGGGCTCGCGCATGCCTGGGGTCTTCGCCCGCGCCGCGCGCAAAGAGGCGCCCGCTGGGCGGCCCACGCGCGCCGCCGCCGCCACCCGCCGCTCGCGGCCCCCAAACCTGGCTGGCCAAGTGGCGCGAACGCCCCGTCCAACGCGCGCGTTCCCACGCGAGGGCGCTGCAAAGCATGCGCGCAAGACGGGGTGGGCGGCCCCGCCCCCCGAGCGCGCCCGCGCACGCGCGCCCGCGCCCCTGCCGGCGCGCGCGCCCGCCCGAATGCGCGCGCCCAGACCCCGCGCCCCAGCCCCGCGCCCGAGCGCGCATTCACGCCCGCGCGATCGCGCAGACGCCCGTGCACGTGCGCGCGCGCTCGCACGGGCCGGGCGCGCGCACGCTGCGCGCGCGCGCACACGCAAGAGCGCGCGCCCCGCCGCGAATGCATGCGCGCGCAAATGCACGCGTGCGCGCGCGCTCGCAAACACCCACCGCCCCCCGCCCTGCCCCCGCCCCACCTTCCGCAGGAATTGCGGCTCAAGTGAGCCGCGCTTCGGGGGGGCCTCCTGGCGCGCCTCAACAGGCGCAAGTGCGCGCGCGCCCGCATTGGCGCCACGAGGCCGCCCGTGAGCTGCGGAATTCTAAACGCTTCGCGTATCCCCACCAGCCCGTCCACAAACGACGCCCAGGCGAGTAGAGGGTCGTCCTGAGGGATTTTTCGGCGTCTTGGGTGCCTCGGGGGGGCCTCTTTGGGCCGTTTGGGATCCTCTTGGGGGCCTCCTGGGGGCCTCTTGGGGCCATCTTGGGGCCATCTTGGGGCCTCTTGGTGCCTCCTGGGCGCTTCTTGGGGCCATCTTGGAGGAAATCGATCAAAGAAGAGGGGAGCTTTAATTAGCGCTGCCCCCTCAGAAGGCCAAAATGGAGCCCAAACCTTAGTAAAATCAATGATTCTGGCTTCAAAGAAGAGGTGAGCCTTAATTAGCGCTGCCCCCTCAGAAGGCCAAAATGGGGCCAAAACCTTAGTAAAATCAATGATTTTGGCTTCCTCGGCGAGGCCGTTTTGGACGCTCTGACCGCTCCCCGCCCCCCTTGTCCAGGTCAGTGGGGAGGGGGGTTAGGGGGAGGGGTAAACCCCTCCCCGAAGGGGAAGAAGGAGGGGTGGAAGAGGAAACTCGTTAAACCACCGACGCCCTAAAGGGCTGGTGGGATTCGCTCGCGCGCCCTCGCGGCAGTTGCGGCGAGGGGCGAGACTGCGGGTCAGCGAGAACCGCGCGCGCGCTCTCGCCGTCAGGTGCTAAATGTTCAGGGCCGCTTTGGCGGCGCGCTGGAGCATGAGCACCCTGCTAGACGGCCGCTGGCCCAGCGCGGGTGGGCGCCTTGAGGGTTGCGCAGTCCTGCCCTGGTCGGTGCCTTCTGGCTTGGCATCGCTCGGACGTGTGCATTTTTTCTCTGCGAATACCATCGAGGACCATCCTGGACCATCGATCAACAAAAAAAAAACGCACGGAACCGAAAACTGCACAGGAAATGGACGTCCGAGCGATGGCAAGTTACGAAGCGGTCCTGCCCTGGTCGGTGCCTTCTGGGGTGAGTTCTTGCTGGAGGCCTTCGCCTGTATGGGACACGTGCCGTGAGGGTCGTTCTTCTCCCCGCTCTAGCGCCAAGAAGCTGATATACGGCTCCCTGTGGGTTCAGGCAGGGTTATGGTGTGCGGGCCGCTCCTGAGATCCAGGTCTTGGAGCCTGCTCATGGCCGAGGCTCGCCGTGGCCAGAACAGCCCGTTCGTTTCCTTGTGTGGCGGCCCTCGTGGCAGCACGATGGCTGCATGGGGTGATCACTATGAGAGCGGTTCGTCTGCCATCGATCATGGCAAGACATTTGACCTCCCCTTGGGCAAGCCAGGCTCCCGACGAGCACGCTGCACGGCGCCTCCCCGCTGTCGAGAGGCCTGGTGAACGAGGGCGTGGCCGCGATGCGGGAAGGCCGCCAGGCCGCGCCTGCCAGTGCGGCTCTAGAGCGCCCCCCGGAGGAGGGAGCCGTGTTTAGCGGGCGAAGAGCGGCATCGAACAAATTTGCCCACCATCGGCCATTTGATGTTTTTCACACTAAGCGTTTTCGCCCGGCTTCGGTCCCTGGGACCATCACATGTTTCAATCCGGTTCGAATTTGAATATTGGGGTTCCAGTTGTGATTGCTTGCGTTGCTGCGTGTTTCTCGCAACGTCGGATCTCAGAGAAGCCCATACCCCTACGGTGGCACGTCGGGGTATACGTGTTGCGCTTTGCATCCGCCCTGGGACAGGCGTCCCCAGCGGCAGAGAGGTTCATGTTGTACAGTCGGACGAGGTATAAGATCGAGGTCGGTCCGGGGAGGGTGCCCTAATGTTCTGCGTGTGTGTTGGATGTCCTTGTGCAGAAGGGTACCCTTGGATGTTCTGTGTGTTTTGGCCAGCGGAGGGTCTCGTGTTCTTGAGGGATGTTCTTCTGCCCTAGGTCCCACTGTACCCTTCTTCGCCCGCCAAGGTGGCGATGAGCGAGCTGCGTGCCTCCTGAGGCCGAGCTCGGACCTCTCAGGAAGCACCGTGGAGTTCTCCCAGGGGGGGGTGCAGTCGAGAGCGGAGGAGGGCTCCGGCGAGGAGGAAGGTTCAGGCCGAGCGTCGAAAGTGGTCCCAAGATGGCTCCCGAGGCCAAGGTGACATCCCCAATGTCGGGGGCTCGCTGAGGGGTGGTTATCCCAAGGTGCTGGCTGGGGAACGAGCCCAGCTGGACGCTCACGTGTCCTTCTTCCAGGGGCCGTTGGGAGCGATGCTCCTCCCAACCCCGCCCCTGCTGCCCCACCTGTGCGTCCCCCTGGAGATGGCACACGGCAGCTGGGATGGGTCAAGGTGGCCTCCCGGATGCGTCCGAGAAGCCCGGATGCCATCCGAGGGCGGTCCCAAGCGGCCGAGGGGGCGGGGTGGGAGGCGCCGCCGGGAGGGCCCAGCGCCGACGCGAGGAGTCCTCACGGGCCTCCGAGTCTCTGCCGTGTCTCGTAAGCGGGGAGGGGGAGGTGAGGAGGAGGGAGGAGGCGGGGAGGGAGGAGGCGAGGAGGCGAGGAGGTGAGGAGGTGAGGAGGAGAGGAGGAGAGAGGAGGCTGGCAGGAGGTGAGGAGGTGAGGAGGAGAGAGGAGGCTGGGAGGGGCAGAATCGGCGGAGAGAGAGAGGTAATGTGTAGCGGATGACGATTCAGGAGCGCCAGGGGGGGGCCGTGACGCAGCAGCGCCCTGGGCGATGAGTGCGGGATCGGGTTCTGGCCCTGCTCATGGGCGTCGTTGTCGTCGTTGGAACTATTTGACCGTCCTCTCCAGAATCTCTCGCGCCGCAGAGCATAACCTGTTTGACATATCCCCTCGTGCAAATGTGTTTTTCTTCATCGCACATTGCAGTCCAGACGCTGAGATGAGGACCGCTGGAGGCTCAGGAGGGGCTCTGGCTTTCGGGCTGCTCCTCGGGCCTGGGCCGGGGAGCTCCGTCGTGGCCGAGGCTCGCAGCGGCCAGGAGGAGCCCGTTCCTTCCCTGCCTGGCGTTCCCCCGTGGCCGCACGGTGACCGCACGGGCGAGCTGCGGGCAGAAGGGAACGCTGCACGAGGAGCGCCGCCCTCCCGGGGGGGCTCCGCGGGGCGCCTGGGCGCACACGAGGAGCGCCAGGGGGAACAGCCACGGGAGGGCGTCAGGATCAGCGAGCCCCGCCCGACCTGTTGGCTTTCTCTGCGTCTTGACCGTCGGAGGAGACGGGCAAGGAGGAAGGGGGGGGG